TTTCCTAGTTCGAACTAAGCGCTCCGCTAGTTCGATTCAAATTCGAACTAGCGGAGCGCTAGTGTAGCGGCTATGAATGTTAGTTCAAACTAAACGTCCGTTAGTTCGAACTAACATTGTAGTGTAGACATACCCTCATAGAATCATAGAACAATAGATCTGGAAGGACCCTCGAGAGGTCATCAAATCCAGTCCCCTGTCCTCATGGAAGGACCCAGTCCAGTCTAGACCATCCCTGATAGTTGTCTGTCTAACCTGTTCTTAAATATCTCCAGAGATGGAGATGAACAACCGCCCTAGGCAACTTATTCCAGTGTTAAACCACCCTGACAGTTAGGAAGTTTTTCCTAAAGTGCAACCCAAATCTCCCTTGCTGCAGTTTAAACCCATTGCTTCTTCTTCTATCCTCAGAGGCCAGGAAGAACAATTTTCTCCCTCCTCCCTGTAACACCCTTTTAGATACTTGAAAGCTGCTATAATGCCTCCTCTCAGTCTTCTCTTTTCTGCACTAAAGAAGCCCAGTTCTTTCAGCTTTCCCTCATAGGTTAAATATTCTAGACCTTTAATCATTTTTGTTGCTCTTCTCTGGACCTTCACCAATTTTCCCCCATCGTTTTCCTCATTTTTCATCTGCACTCTCTCCCTATGCAAAAATCCGTAGATATTTGTCAAGTTACAAGTTAACACAGAGAGTTCCTTCAGCTTGGCAGGGAAGCAGTTGGCTTCACAAATGGGAGTGCCAAGATTTGCTATCCATTATGAGTTATTTCAGTCATGTGCCTGTAAGAGGTGATGGGTATAAATTACTTACAAACACTATTGCAGTCTCCTTTCCTGCATCTCAGCTCTGCTCTTTGCAAGAACCCAGACTGACAGTTCTGTTCCCTCTGGACTTTTTGGAAAGTTTTGCACAAGTATTGTAGAAGGATTGTATTCCTGATCCATGATGTAAGTGGTCCTGTGACACCTCAGGGAATAACCAAAATATATCGAATCACTTCATCAGATGATTTGGAGTGGAAATAACAGAAACCAAGCAATCTATATAATAGCAGAAGTACCTCTCAATTGTACGACTCATGTTAGGGAGGTTAATTAAATAGTCTGGCTGTGTCCCATACATACTTTTTTATGTAGAAATGCAGATATTAATGGCAGATAAATTGGCCCACTTAATAAGCATCATTAACACAGATCCTACAATTCACAGGTACTTTTGCTGTTACATATATATTGGTTTGTTATGTCTACTCCAATTCATCTGATGAAGCAGGGTTTGTCCATGAAGCTCTTGATTCTATATATTTTGGTTAGACTTAGGTGTCACAGACTAACACAGACTAACCCCTCTAAGGTTTCTAAATGTGTTAGAAACAGCTTCTGGTCAGTTACCAGGAGGCAGTATCAAGCTAGAGTTATTAGAACTCACCCCTTGCCAACAGAATATAGAGTATTTCTGAAATACTTTCTAAATCAAAAGCCATTAAGCAGAAAAGACCTAACTGCTACAGATTCTAGCATCTCTGCTGCTGACTTTCGATATACATGCACGCTATGGACATCTGGTTTGCAGTCTTAGTAATACAATGAAAAGTCTGGCATGCCATGTAGAGAGCTGTTCTTCAGAACACACATCTCAACTGATCCTTACCCCGTCCCTCTTTGAGAAATGACTTCTCAGATTAGAGTTGGACTTAAAATGAATTCAGCCATCTCAGTCATTTGTCACAATCTAGTCCTCCTCTGTCCTGGGTTAAGAGCTGACAGGTTTTCTGCAGGTTCTGACCTGACAGTCTGGAGTTTCTACCTGGAGTGGTAATAGGCATTGGGGCTAGTATAGAAATACTCATTCCGTGAGCACTCGCTCTCTAGGACATGGTGAGCCCACAGCTGTGCTTCAGGCACATTCGGGTTAGCAGGGAGTGTATTTAAAAGCCAGATGCATGAGTATTAAGAGAGATGGAACTTTGTTTCACACAAGAAAGTAGCCTGTTGCATTTACTCTCTCTCTCTCTGTCCCATTCGAGTCAGAAAATAAAACTATTGCAAGTGTGTTTGCTACTTAAATTTGCAGGAGAGAATCCACTTGAGCCAACGAGGGAACTCGTCACTAATATTCCATGGGGTGTCCTCTTGCTCAGTCCCTGGCAGGATTGGGCCCAGAGCACACGGCACCTCTAGAAACAGGACGCCTGGAGAAATCCTGACTTGGGGCATCAGAGATTTGTACACTCCAAGCTTTCTTTGACTGTCAGATTTCTGTGTATCTTGAATAATGGACTGCGGAGCATGGACAGATGTAGGGGAGGGATCCCAAGCTACCTAGCACTGCCTGCCCTCCAGCCCTGTCACTGAGTCACTCAGACACCCCAGCTGAGTCTTCTGCGAATCCTTTGCCACTGCACAGAACAGCTGCCAATGCAAACAGCCTGCAGCCTTCGCCCTGCACTCAGCATGTTACAGACAGTGAAACCTGCCAACGTACCCAGTTCCTGCTAGAAGGGAGCCGCTGGCACCAGAGGTCTTCACCCTACAGCACAAGGAGTCATTGGAGAGGTTGCACGGGCAGCAGGCAGTGTGTGTTCAGATAGGGAGGCAACTGCCTTTATGAAGCATGTTTGTACCTTCCCTTGGGGCCACATGGCCATCGGGGAGCCTCAGCTGCTTGGCTTCGTGTGCACCAGCTTTAACCCCATCACGGCCAATGGCAAATGGCAGGAGGCCAAATCACAGGGGATGGGAGGTGACACTAAACAACTGGCTTGCAGCACCAGCCCGGTTCAGGGTCTGTTACTGGAATCTGGGCTTTTCATCACACTTCACATGCATCTCATTAACTCCCTGGCTCCGTCGGGAGAGGCCACAGGAGAATGGTGATGCTCTCACAGCTGTGATCTTGCTGCAATAAAGTCAATTAGAAGATAGGGTCAGATTTCTCCCATTTCCTACATTACAAACCCATTGTGCGGGTCTGGGATGGGAAAATCCACAAGACTCCATGTATGGACATTTCCTTTAGATCATCCAAGGGGGAATGAACAGGGGGACCCAGGATATCAAGATCCCCAAAGTTAGGCCCAGATCTCAGTGATCCACTGGTAGCTCGGCCTACCCTCTCATAATCTGTGGGCCCCCACAACTGCTCTAGGACCCACACCAGCTCCTTGCTAGTGCAGGCTGGTCAGAGATGCGCTACCAGGGCCTGTCCCAGCAGCCACTGCCCACAGGACTTGCGGAAGGGTCTTTGTACAGGCTGGAGGGGGCTGTGCAGAGAAGAGAAGGCTGGTTAGAGTAGCCGATGGGCTAATCTGATAGGCTAGACTGAGCGGGAGTTTTTCCATGTCCAGAGTGAGCCGCAGACTTGGTGAGTGCAGCCTTCAGTTACGTTCCAAGGGAGAGGCAGCTGAAAAGCCTCCAGTTTGTCTTGGGGAATCCAGGTCGCTGCATCTGGGCAGCCTCCTGGCAGCTGAGCTCTCAGAGAGAAATGATCCATTTTCTATGAAAACTCTCCCCCCAAATGGGGTGAAAAGGAAACATTTCAATTTAGTTGAATAACACTCTGGGGGGCAGGGCTAGGTCCCCCCTCAGCCTCCCATCCTGAACCCACTCTTCGAGTGACCCCATTTCCCACACAATAAAGAGGAAACACCCAGACCCCCATTCAAGCCCCACTCACCCCCTTCCCCGTGTGACACCGTTGCCCATTGCTGGACCCCCTCATGGGTCAGAAGCTGCCTGGAAATCCAGAAAATCTGAAGCTGATGCACCTCAGAGGCCTAGAAGCAAAAAGCCCCCACCTGTCCCATAATATATTTAAAACTAATTATTTGTAACCTTTCTCGTGATTTTTAGGATGTATGAGTCATATTCATTCTCAGTAACTAACAGCAATTTTTTAAAGTACCTCAGAACATAAAAATGGCCATACTGGGTCAGACCAAAGGTCCATCTAGCCCAGTATCCTGTCTGCTGACAGTGGCCAATGCCAGGTGTCCTAGAGGGAGGGAACCGAACAGGTAATGATGAAGTGATCTCTCTTTTGCCATCCATCTCCAGCCCCTGACAAACAGAGGCTAGGGACACCATTCCTTACATATCCTGGCTAATAGCCATTAATGGACTTAACTGTCATGAATTTATCCAGTTTTATTTTAAAACCCTGTTATAGTCTTAGACTTCACAACCTCCTCAGGCAAGGAGTTCCACAGGTTGACTATGCTCTGTGTGAAGAAGAACTTCCTTTTGTTTTAAACCTTCTGCCCATTAATTTTGTTTGGTGGCCCCTAGTTCTTATATTATGGGTGTCATGTAGCATGTCCTTTTGACCACGGCCTTGCGCGTATTGCCCATACTGCCGCACAAAAGCCCCTCACAAGGGAAACACAGGCCGCTGAGGCGGATCCAGAGACAGCTTGAATTCCCTTGGGTGCTCAGCACAATTCTCAGTAAACGGAACTGGACTTGGCAAGCGCCCGGGCCAGGGGCCTTCAAGCCCCAGCGCAGTCCCCAGTAAACGGAATTTGAACTTGGCAAGCACCTGGGCCAGGAAGATAAGAGTAGGGAAAAATGTTACGTTAATGAGCACTAAAAACAGGACAAGATAGGAATAAGGAAAATGAGCTGTCATAATACACCAGTTAACAAGTACCTGGAACAGGGAAAGAAAAAACATAGCTAGCTTTCATGTGTGCCAGTCATGTCTGCATCAGGCACTGACCACAATGCCTTGAGACAGACATCATGTCTCAAGGAAGGAACCCTGATATGGTACCGGATATCAAAATTATAGTATAAAGCACCCTGCGCCCTAAGCTCGGATCCGTATAAAAAAATAGAAGGCACGTATCGTCCAGCCTGGCTGAGGGGTTGATCACCCAAGGCTACCTCCCACCCACCGAATCACGAAAGGGTGTACGAATACGGAGCACGCTACGCGTTATTTTGTGTCTGTGCATCGTAATCGTTTCTGGGCTTGTGAGTATTGCTTACTATATTGTATTAACCATTTCATATTTAGAGGTTGTTAAGTATATGTAGATGAATGACTAACTCCACCAGCTGTTCAAAGATAACCATAGAAGGATTGGCTACAGGAGGAGTTTTTATTATTGCTATATTGGTTTTATTTGTTCTATTCTTTTTTTGCATGCTGCGCTGTCTAAAACGAATCAGAGACAGTGATTTAATATAATCAAATTGCAGTTAATAAAGTTTGTAACTGGTTAAGTGCATTTAAGTCTCGGGCCTTCCTCCTTTGCAGCCCCAGTCCCTTGCCACAAAAAACCACCCCTAGACAATCCTCGAACCTCTGGTTCATCAATGGGAACAAGTAAATAACTTTTCCTTATTCACTTTCTCCACACCACTCGTGATTTTATAGACCTCTATCATATCCCCCCTTAATCTCCTCTTTTCTAAGCTGAAAAGTCCCAGTCTCTTTAATTTCTCTTCAGAAGTCAGAGGTCTGTCGAACAATCAAACAAGACAGGGGCCGGTGTGGCAGAGAGCCTTTACAAGTGCTGTGCATTGGACTTCGCTGCAGGGGAGCGGAGGGAGATTTGCACACCTGAGCCACTCTTGTTAGGTGTGGAATTGGAGAGACTGTCCCACATGGAGGGGCCGATGTGGAGGTTCTGATGCTCGTCACCATATTCATTCATCTTCTCCATCATAGTCTGTGGCTGTGCTCTGGGTATGGGATGGTCGAAAACCCCTGACTACTTCATGGCTGGAGGATTGTGCCCGTCAGCAATTCTAACCAGCCTTCCAAACCATACGTAACACCTTCTACCATGCACAATGCCCCATTGGCAGATTCTGTGGGCAGCGGCTGCTGTGACAGGCCCTGGTAGCACATCGTTGATCAGCCTGGGCTAGCTGGGAGCTGGAGAAGGTCCTAGAGCAGCTGTGGAGATCCAGAAAGTGTGGCTAGGTGGGTCTGGCTACAAGAGAATCCCTGAGCTCTGTGCCTAACTTTGAGGATCCATGGATGCTGGGTCCCCCTTTTCATTCCTCAGGAAAAAGGGAAGGGATTTCCCCCTCCTGGAACCATCCAAGAGAAACTTCCATCTATGGAGTCTTGAAGAATTTCCATTTCCTGGCCTAACCCCTACAATCTTAATTCAGGGAAGTGGGGTGCCGGGGAGAAATCTGGTCTTATATTATGTCTCTTCTGTTGTACTTTATTATAGCAGCATCACAGATATGACAGCATCATTGTTACCACTTGGCCAGCCTCATGGTAGCCACATACTGAACAGGGCTGACAAGCCCTGATTCCAGGAACAGAGCCTGCAGGAGGGCTGGTGCTGCAGGCCAGTTGTTTAGCATCATTACCCATCGCCTGGGATCTGGCCTCCTGCTGTTTGCCATTGGCTGAGGTGGGGTTAAAGCTGGTGCACATGAAGCCAAACAGCTGTGGTTCCCTGATGGCCAAGTAGCTCCCGAGGGAAGGTACAAACATGCTGAATAAAGGCAGCTGCCTCTCTATCTGAACACACGCTGCCTGCTGCCCGTGCAACCTCTCCAGTGACTCCTTGTGCTTCAGGGTGACGACCTCTGGTGCCAGCGGCTCCCTTCTAGCAGGAACTGGGTACGTTGGCAGGTTTCACTGTCTGTAACATGCCAAGTGCAGGGCGAAGGCTGCAGGCTGTTTGCATTGGCAGCTGTTCTGTGCAGCGGCAGAGGACTCAGCTGGGCTGTCGGGGTGACTCAGAGGTGGACTGGAGGGCAGGCAGCACTAGGGAGCTTGGGATCCCTCCCTGACATCTGGCAATGATTTGCAGTAGGCTGTTTAAGCCACACAGCAATCTGACACGCACACAGAGCTCAGAGACTGACAGCCCTGATGCCCTGAGTCAGGCTTTCTCAAGTGGTTCCATTTCTACTGGTGCCAAGTGCCCTGGGCCCCCTTCTGCCAGGAAACCCTGCGAAATGTCAGTGACCAGCTTCCAAATCACACCAAGCGTATTGGCTCCTTGAAAGTCAATCAACAAATGCCTTTGAAAAGGTTTTTCTCCTGGCTTTGTTGTGAAGGCGGGAACTCAGAGCGGCGTTACTCTGTAGTAACAGGTCTCACAGGGCATGCTTCTGTTTGCTGACTGCCTGAAGGCTCCAACATTTGTGTCCTAGAGTCACCCCTCAGAGTTACATGCCACCGGTATCTCTGACTCTTTTCTCCTTCCCGAGCACTAAATATCAGGCCTTGTTGCTTTCCTTCTTGATCCTCACAGTCTTGGGATGGGTCCCAGGCTACCAAACGGCTGCTGGAAATGGTTTTGGCCCCTGTGAGTAGTGGCATTGACCAGACAGCCTTCTGCAACCAAAGTTCTGGTCCATCTCAACAGGGAGAAGAAAGTTTAACGTGGGAGAATAGGAGGGTTTTCAAGCAACGGTCTGGACTTGTCTCTGACCCCAGCCCCCCACTCAGAGGGGGACTCAAACAGGCCAAGAGTCTTCAGCTTTCCCCAGCCATTTGCGAATATCTGGAAGATAATAGGGTGATACGTAAGAATCAGCATGGATTTTTGAAGAACAAATCTTGTCAAACCAACCTGGGGAGCAGGGTGGGGTTTGACAGGGTAACAAGTTTTGTTTTTTTTGGGGGGGAGGGTGGGGTTTGACAGGGTAACAAGTTTTGTGAACAGGAGGGAAGTGGTAGATGTAACATAATCTGGCCTTTAGTAAAGCTGTTGGTATAGTTGTGCATGAACAATGTAAGGAAATACAACCTAAATGGAGCTCCTATTACATGGGTACATTACTGGTCACCCATTCCCAGAGACTAGTTACCAATGGTTCACAGTCATGCTGGAAGGGCATAATGCATGGAGTTTCACCGGGATCTGTTCTGGAAGGGTTCTATTCAATATCTTCGTCAATGATTTTAGATTGCATGGAGTTTCACCGGGATATGTCCTGGGAGGGTTCTATTCAATATCTTCGTCAATGATTTTAGATTTTGGCATAGAGACTACGCTTACTAAATTTGCAGGTGATACCAAGCTGGGAGGGGCTGCAAGTAGTTTAGAGGATAAGATCATAATTCAAAATGATCTGGACAAACTGTAGAAAAGGTCTGCGATAAACAGGATGAAAATCAATGAGGACAAATGCAAAGTACTCCACTTAAAAAGCAACAGCCAGTTTCACACATAAAAAATGGGAAATGACTGCCAAGAAAAAGTATTCGGGAGAGGGATCCAGAGGTCATAATGGAGCACACAAAAAAAAGAAGCAAACATGATTCTGGGATGCATTAGCAGGAGTGTTGTAAGTAAGACACCAGGGCTACATCTAGACTACATCCCTTTTTCGGAAAAGGGATGTAAATTAGATGTATCGCAATTGCTAATGAAGCAGGGATTTAAATCTCCCCCGCTTCATTAGCATAAAAATGGCTGCTGCTTTTTTTCGGCATGGAGCTTTGCTAGAAAAAAGCACCAGTATAGATGCTGATCTTTTGGAAAATAAAGCCTTTTCCAAAAGATCCCTTATCCCTCTTGAAATAAGGGATAAGGGATCTTTTGGAAAAGGCTTTATTTTCCAAAAGATCAGCATCTATACTGGTGCTTTTCTCTGACAAAGCTCTGTACCGAAAAAAAGCAACATCCATTTTTATGCTAATGAAGCACGGGAGATTTAAATCCCCGCTTCATTAGCAATTGTGATACATCTAATTTACATCCCTTTTCCAAAAAGGGGATGTCTTCTATTCTGCTGTACACTGATTAGGCTTCAGTGAGATTTTATGCCCAGTTCCGAGGGGTACCACATTTCAGGAAAGATGTGAGGAAATTGGAGAAGGTCCAGAGAAGAAAACAAAAATTATTAAAAAAACGGTGAGGAGTCCTGTGGCACCTTATACACTAACTTCAGTGTAGGAGTATAAGCTTTCGTGGGCAAAGACCCACTTCGTCAGATTCATGTAGTGGAAATATCCAGAGGCAGGTATAAATATGCAGGCCAGAATCAGGCTAGAGAAGATGAGGTGGATCCAATCAAGGAGGATGAGGGCCACTTCTAGTAGCTGATCTGGAGGTGTGAATTCCAAGAGAGGAATTTGTTTAATCTGCCGCTTTTGCAGATTCAGACTAACATGGCTACCCCTCTGATACTTAAAAATTATTAAAAGTCTAGAGAATATGAGCTATGAGGGAAGTTTGAAAGAACTGGATTTGTTTAGTCTGTAAAAGAGAAGACTGAGAGGGAACAAGATAGCAGCTTTCAAGTATCTAAGGGTATGTCTACACTACCCCGCTAGTTCGAACTAGCGGGGTAGTGTAGACATACCCTTAGATACTTGAAAGCTGCTATCTTGTTCCCTCTCAGTCTTCTCTTTTACAGACTAAACAAATCCAGTTCTTTCAAACTTCCCTCATAGCTCATATTCTCTAGACTTTTAATAATTTTTAAGTATCAGAGGTAATGGTCAGGATGGTTAAGTACAGGAATAAATTGCCTAGGGGGGTTGTGGAATCCCTATCCTTGGACATACTTAAGAACCGTTTAGAAAAATACCAGTCAGGGATGGTCAGGACTGTGCTGAGAGTCCTGTAATGAGGGCAAGGGACTGGATTTGATGACCTCCCAAAGTCCCTTCCAATGCTATAATTCTATGAAATCCACTTCTTGCAAACGCTCATTGTACCTGAATAACCGGTGCTGAAGGTCTCTCTGTGCTAGCAAGTGAGAGCCCAGGGAATGAAAATGTTATATACTGAGCCCAGTACCTGTTATCACTCCAGATTCAGGCTACAGACTGACAGAACAGGACCTGTGGTTAAACCAGGAGAACTCTTAACCCAGGGACAGAGCTGCTACTAGACTTTTGCTTGCCAACAAGTAACACAGTGAGGGTGGAGATGGTGTGATATTTTCCGATTCGGAAAAAATCCAGATGACAGATGGGACCTTTCCTGTCCCACTCTAACCTGGGAAATCATCTCTGAAAGGAGACCAAAAGAGAAAGAATGGGTTGCTAAAGAACAGTTGTGTCATTCTCGTGCCAAAATATGTCTTTGTAATACAAATATTACAAGACAAACTTTCATGACATGCATGTATCTCAAAAGCTAGCAGCAGAGTTGATGTAATCTTTACAGGTAGGAGCAATGGTAGCTTTCTTCCGTAATGGCTTTTTGTTAGGGAATATTTCAGGTTCAGAAATATTGCTTGCAATGGGTTTGTGATATTTCCTCTTCCATCAGTGAACAGTTTGATTATACTGTCTCCTGATAACTGACCAGCTATTGCTAACATCTACAGCCAAAGCCATGAATATTATCCCTCTGAAATACCCATGCAAGGCTTTGCATAAGCCAGAGAGAACAGAACTAATATGATATATGGAGATATACCATTTCATAGAGCTGGAAGGGACCTTGAGAGGTCATCAAGTCCAGCCCTCTGATCTCACAGCAGGACCAAATAGCATTCCTGACAAATTTGCCTCAGATGGCCCCCTCAAAGATTGAGCTCACAAACTGGGTTTAGCAGGCTCACAGCAGGATCAAATAGCATTCCTGACAAATTTGCCTCAGATGGCCCCCTCAAAGATTGAGCTCACAAACTGGGTTTAGCAGGCCAATGCTCAAACCACTGAGCTAGCTTACCTCTAGTGGACACCTAGACCTACATCTAGACAGCAGTGCTATTTCAGGCTACCCACGGTATCCCAAAATAGTTATTCCATGTCTTTAAACGTGCCCGTTATTTTGAAATAGATTTTGAAATAACAGGCACGCTAGTCCATCGTCCCTGTAACCCTCATTCCACAAGGTTTAAGGGATGTTGCAGAATAGCACTTTGTTTCAAAATTAGATCGAAATAAGATACGCAATTTGCATAGCTCTAATTCCGTAGCTTATTTCGACCTGCGAGTCCAATGTAGATGCACCCCATAGAGCTTTTATTGTTCACCCATTTGTAGTACCATCCTCTTCAGAATTTTGCCTGAGGAGAAGATGTAATTCTGTAGCTTATTTCGACCTGCAAGTGCAATGTAGATGCATCCCATAGCGCTTTTATTGTTCACCCATTTGTAGTACCATACTCTTCAGAATTTTGCCTGAGGAGAAGATGCAGTTCCTGAATGGATGAGCAGACTTCTGCAGGATGACCAGACTTTCTGGATTCAGTCACCCGCGGAAAGGCAAAGCACTCCCCGTTTTCTCTAGGTGGGCGGGTTTCAGAGTGTATCACGGGGAGCATTCAACCGCGGAGAGGCAAAGCACTGCCCGTTTTCTCTAGGTGGGGGGGTTTCAGAGTGTATCACGGGGAGCATTCAAGGGAAGTTAATAAGGCCGAGTTGTGATTGAGATAAAATATGGAAATCTGGAGAGATGTATTCAAAACCTGGCCCTAAAAATGATTCTGTGGACTGCAAATAGGCAGTGACATAACTGGGATACTCAGAAGTGGAGAAAATAATGAAACTTTATAACAATATAAAATGAGGGAATGAAACACACTTATAAATAGCTTCCGTGCATGACACTAAGTACAATGGCCATTTTCCTCATGCACTTGCCATGTGTTTACCCACACATCATGATACATTGGGCCACACTCAGAAGGGGTGGGCCGGAAGGGATATTTTTTGGTGGGAAGGTCATCACGGTAAAATCACACAGTAGTCAAGCAGGTTTAATGTGTGTCTGGGATAAACTTTCTCTGGGAACATGTTAGACCAGAGGTGCACAGAGTGGGGCTTCTCCCACCTTTCTCTACAGCAACTCAGACTGATCACTGGATATTGGCCTGGATGGACTACAGGTCTAATGTAGTCTGGCAGTACCTGTTTTCCAATTGGTGGTGTAAATCCAATGCTAGATTTCTGCTGGTTTTTCTTGAGTTCCTGGGAGTCTCTAGAATTGCACTGAGAACAGAAAGATGTCTCGTTCATTATCAATTAATCTTTCTGTTCCTCTTCCTTTCAGAAAGAAAAATTCAAATCTCCTCTGACTTCTCTACTACATCATGTCAGCTGTCAATGACACCAAACTCAGTTCTGTAGTGTTCCTTCTCACTGGGATATCAGGGCATGAAGATGCACATCTCTGGATCTCCATCCCCTTCTGCTTCATGTATGGTATTTCGATAGTAGGCAATTCAGTCATTCTGTTCATTATAAAAGCAGACACAAGCCTCCATGAGCCCATGTACATTTTCCTTTCCATGTTGGCCATCACAGACCTTGGCTTATCAATTGTTACCATACCAACAATGCTGGGCATATACTTGTTTAACTCCAGGGAGATCAGCCGGGATGCCTGTTTTGCCCAGCTGTTCTTTATCCACTCACTTCAATGCATTGAATCCTCTGTGCTCTTGCTCATGGCCTTGGACCGTTTCATCGCAATCCATGATCCTCTGAGATATGCGTCCATCTTAACCCTGCCGAGAATTGTCAAGATGGGACTGGTATGTGTGCTAAGAGGGGTGGTTGTAATACTTCCACTTCCCCTTCTCTTGAAAAGGTACCGATACTGTCTATCCAATGTCCTCTCCCATTCCTACTGCTTGCATCAAGAGGTCATGAAGCTGGCTTGTGCAGATATCAGAGTCAACATTATCTTGGGCTTGTTTACTAAGCTCTTAACGATGGGGTTGGACTGGCTGCTCATCTTCCTCTCCTATGTGTTGATCCTCAAAACTGTGCTGAGTGTTGCATCCCATGCAGAGACCTTCAGGGCCCTGAACACCTGCGTCTCCCACCTCTGTGCTGTCCTGCTCTTCTACACCCCAGACATCAGCTTGGTTGTGATGTACCGATTTGGGAATAGCTCTTCTCAGGCACTTCAGATTGTCCTGGGCTACATCTGCCTGCTGGTCCCACCCCTGATGAACCCAATTGTGTACAGCGTGAAAAGCAAACACCTTCGTGTGAGGATCATCAGGGTGTTCATCAAGTGAAGGGTCAATTCCTCACTCAACTCCATGTTGATGACACAGGGGACAAAGAACGGCCACCTGTTCAGTCCTTAACCCATACATTCCAGATGACAAGAGCAACTGATCTCAACTCTGTAGACATAATTTCACATGGGGTCTAAAGGATAGACAATGGGTAAAGGTTCTATCTCCATCCAGTGGTGGGGGAGGACAGGGCAATGCAAGAAGGAGAGCAAGGCAGGCAGAAGCAATTATAAAGTGACTGTGTTTACAGAGATTTGGAGGACTGATTGGATGTTGACCCAAAAAGAACCATACTGGTGGCTGTTCCAATCTCAGAATTCCTGTTGATACACTCGTTAACTAGGAGGGATGTGTATTTTTCAGAGATTTGGAGGACTGGTTGGATGTTGACCCAAAAAGAACCATATTGGTGGCTGTTTCAATCTCAGAATTCCTGTTGCTACACTCGTTAACTAGGAGGGATGTGTACGACAGGTTGAATCACAGAAATCCCCTTGAGACTGTCACCTGAGGGCCTGGTCATACCTGCCTACCTTCCCGCCTGCTACCTTCCTGCTCAGGGAACCCACCACTTCCTCCTGTGGATCGGAATCTCTGCTCTTCCCCAGCAAAATCATAGAATTAAGGTAATAGCATCCCAGTAGAGTAACACAGACTCTGAGAGCAGCTCAGCTCTCCAACAATACCCAAGAACACAGCCCCAGTGGGACCAAAACCCCAATTCAATTGGTCTGACTCTATATGAAAGTTGTACAGAGAAAGCTCGTAAAGTTTGCTCACTTTATCTGTGTGAGAGAGAGACACACATTTCCTCCCACCCAGGTAACAGTTATTTACACGGGGTTTAATAATAAACAAAAGTGATTTTTATTAAGTACCAAAACCAGGATTTCTGTGACTGCAAGTGATGACAGACAGATCAAAGTAAGTCACTAAGCTAAAATAAAAGAAGCCAGCCAAGCCTAATACACTAGGCATGTCTACACTAGGAAACTATTTCAGAATAACTGAAATTGATTTAATAACTCCCAAAATAACAAAATTGAAATAGCATCTCCACACTAAAGTTAATGCCTCAAAATTAGTCTTAGGCAGACTCCGTTAGTGTGGATGCGCTACCTCGACTTAGAGCCCCAGGGAGACCATGTCTAGACTACAAGCCTCTTTTGAAAGCGAGACACTCCCCGTTTTCTCTAGGTGGGCGGGTTTCAGAGTGTATCACGGGGAGCATTCAAGGGAAGTTAATAAGGCCGAGTTGTGATTGAGATAAAATATGGAAATCTGGAGAGATGTATTCAAAACCTGGCCCTAAAAATGATTCTGTGGACTGCAAATAGGCAGTGACATAACTGGGATACTCAGAAGTGGAGAAAATAATGAAACTTTATAACAATATAAAATGAGGGAATGAAACACACTTATAAATAGCTTCCGTGCATGACACTAAGTACAATGGCCATTTTCCTCATGCACTTGCCATGTGTTTACCCACACATCATGATACATTGGGCCACACTCAGAAGGGGTGGGCCGGAAGGGATATTTTTTGGTGGGAAGGTCATCACGGTAAAATCACACAGTAGTCAAGCAGGTTTAATGTGCGTCTGGGATAAACTTTCTCTGGGAACATGTTAGACCAGAGGTGCACAGAGTGGGGCTTCTCCCACCTTTCTCTACAGCAACTCAGACTGATCACTGGATATTGGCCTGGATGGACTACAGGTCTAATGTAGTCTGGCAGTACTTGTTTTCCAATTGGTGGTGTAAATCCAATGCTAGATTTCTGCTGGTTTTTCTTGAGTTCCTGGGAGTCTCTAGAATTGCACTGAGAACAGAAAGATGTCTCGTTCATTATCAATTAATCTTTCTGTTCCTCTTCCTTTCAGAAAGAAAAATTCAAATCTCCTCTGACTTCTCTACTACATCATGTCAGCTGTCAATGACACCAAACTCAGTTCTGTAGTGTTCCTTCTCACTGGGATATCAGGGCATGAAGATGCACATCTCTGGATCTCCATCCCCTTCTGCTTCATGTATGGTATTTCGATAGTAGGCAATTCAGTCATTCTGTTCATTATAAAAGCAGACACAAGCCTCCATGAGCCCATGTACATTTTCCTTTCCATGTTGGCCATCACAGACCTTGGCTTATCAATTGTTACCATACCAACAATGCTGGGCATATACTTGTTTAACTCCAGGGAGATCAGCCGGGATGCCTGTTTTGCCCAACTGTTCTTTATCCACTCACTTCAATGCATTGAATCCTCTGTGCTCTTGCTCATGGCCTTGGACCGTTTCATCGCAATCCATGATCCTCTGAGATATGCGTCCATCTTAACCCTGCCGAGAATTGTCAAGATGGGACTGGTATGTGTGCTAAGAGGGGTGGTTGTAATACTTCCACTTCCCCTTCTCTTGAAAAGGTACCGATACTGTCTATCCAATGTCCTCTCCCATTCCTACTGCTTGCATCAAGAGGTCATGAAGCTGGCTTGTGCAGATATCAGAGTCAACATTATCTTGGGCTTGTTTACTAAGCTCTTAACGATGGGGTTGGACTGGCTGCTCATCTTCCTCTCCTATGTGTTGATCCTCAAAACTGTGCTGAGTGTTGCATCCCATGCAGAGACCTTCAGGGCCCTGAACACCTGCGTCTCCCACCTCTGTGCTGTCCTGCTCTTCTACACCCCAGACATCAGCTTGGTTGTGATGTACCGATTTGGGAATAGCTCTTCTCAGGCACTTCAGATTGTCCTGGGCTACATCTGCCTGCTGGTCCCACCCCTGATGAACCCAATTGTGTACAGCGTGAAAAGCAAACACCTTCGTGTGAGGATCATCAGGGTGTTCTTCAAGTGAAGGGTCAATTCCTCACTCAACTCCATGTTGATGACACAGGGGACAAAGAACGGCCACCTGTTCAGTCCTTAACCCATACATTCCAGATGACAAGAGCAACTGATCTCAACTCTGTAGACATAATTTCACATGGGGTCTAAAGGATAGACAATGGGTAAAGGTTCTATCTCCATCCAGTGGTGGGGGAGGACAGGGCAATGCAAGAAGGAGAGCAAGGCAGGCAGAAGCAATTATAAAGTGACTGTGTTTACAGAGATTTGGAGGACTGATTGGATGTTGACCCAAAAAGAACCATACTGGTGGCTGTTCCAATCTCAGAATTCCTGTTGATACACTCGTTAACTAGGAGGGATGTGTACGACAGGTTGAATCACAGAAATCCCCTTGAGACTGTCACCTGAGGGCCTGGTCATACCTGCCTACCTTCCCGCCTGCTACCTTCCTGCTCAGGGAACCCACCACTTCCTCCTGTGGATCGGAATCTCTGCTCTTCCCCAGCAAAATCATAGAATTAAGGTAATAGCATCCCAGTAGAGTAACACAGACTCTGAGAGCAGCTCAGCTCTCCAACAATACCCAAGAACACAGCCCCAGTGGGACCAAAACCCCAATTCAATTGGTCTGACTCTATATGAAAGTTGTACAGAGAAAGCTCGTAAAGTTTGCTCACTTTATCTGTGTGAGAGAGAGACACACATTTCCTCCCACCCAGGTAACAGTTATTTACACGGGGTTTAATAATAAACAAAAGTGATTTTTATTAAGTACCAAAACCAGGATTTCTGTGACTGCAAGTGATGACAGACAGATCAAAGTAAGTCACTAAGCTAAAATAAAAGAAGCCAGCCAAGCCTAATACACTAGGCATGTCTACACTAGGAAACTATTTCAGAATAACTGAAATTGATTTAATAACTCCCAAAATAACAAAATTGAAATAGCATCTCCACACTAAAGTTAATGCCTCAAAATTAGTCTTAGGCAGACTCCGTTAGTGTGGATGCGCTACCTCGACTTAGAGCCCCAGGGAGACCATGTCTAGACTACAAGCCTCTTTTGAAAGCGAGAGTCTAGACTACAAGCCGATTTTTTGAAGAACAGGCAGTCTGGATGCTCTCTTTCAAAAAAGCACAGTTTGCATTACATAGTGCCTTTTTACAAAAGAGTAATTCCAAAAAAAGGTGTTATTCCTCATGAAATGAGGTTTACCATGATAAAAAAAACTGCAGTGTTCTTTCAATTTACTTTCGAAAGAATGCAGCAGCAGTCTAGACACAGGGGAAGTTTTTTCGAAAAAAGGCCACTTTTTTTCAAAAAAACAAACCCTGTAGTCTAGACACACCCTGAGTAGTTCCAGTGATTTTGTTTCCAGGTGCTTTCATGTATCCTCTCAGGGTGGAGAGCAGTCTGCAAAGCAGCTGAAGACCATCATAATTTGCCTCCCATTCCATAATAGAATTTCCACAGGGTGGGAAGCCTTTGTCCCATGCCCCCAACAAAGTTTGCTCACTTTATCTGTGTGAGAGAGATACGCACATTTCCTCCCACCCAGGTAACAGTTATTTAGACGGGGTTTAATAATAAACAAAAGTGATTTTTATTAAGTACCAAAACTAGGATTTCTGTGGCTGCACGTGATGACAGACAGATCAAAGTAAGTCACTAAGCTAAAATAAAAGAAGCCAGCCAAGCCTAATACACTAGGCATGTCTACACTAGGAAACTATTTCAGAATAACTGAAATTGATTTAATAACTCCCAAAATAACAAAATTGAAATAGCATCTCCACACTAAAGGGAATGCCTGAAAATTAGTCCTAGGCAGACTCCGTTAATGTGGACGCGCTACCTCGACTTAGAGCCCCAGGAAGACCATGTCTAGACTACAAGCCTCTTTTGAAAGAGAGCGTCTAGACTACAAGCAGATTTTTTGAAGAAGTGAGCTGCTTTTTCAAGAGTCTAGACGCTCTCTTTCAAAAAAGCACCATTTGCATTCAATAGCACCTCTTTACGAAAGAGTAATTCCAAAAAAAAGGCGTTATTCCTCATAAAATGAGGTTTACCATGATCAAAAACCCTGCAGTGTTCTTTCAATTTACTTTCAAAAGAATGCAGCAGCAGAATAGACACAGAGG